TAATACATTTAGAAGCAGAAAAAAGTGCTGCGACTCAATACAAAAGTAATGTTTTTGTAACATCATTATTACTCGTAACATTATTGTTAAGAATATGTTTACTTGAGCCTACCTTATTTATCCGTAATTTTGTGAAGTAAAAAATGGAATGACAACGACGCTAATTTTTAACCTAGTAGTGACAATAAAGTAAGACAATGCATGCCATAACAGTATTACTGAAATAATTTCCACCAGTTCTTAAAATAATACTTCATAATTTTATTTCGAATATTAAACTCAAATGTAGAAGAGAAACTTTAGAACTGAGAAATGAAAAAACTTACAGGCAAAAGAATATAAATATTCAAATGTTATTTTATCACTATGTCGGTGAAAGACGTAGCCAGTGAATGACTGCAACAATTATGTTTGCATATAAAGTTATCTCACAATACACTTTTAATATGTTTTCTTAATATAAAGACTAAGAAGTGCTTAACTTTAAATGTTTATTATTTACAAAACTTTTTTAACAACATCGTTCTGACTTCTGCTTTTGAGCTAATACATTTTCATAACACTGTCATCAGAATGATTCTTAATCAAACAGCAAGATCAAAAGTAGCGTCGTTTGTCATTCCATTTTTTACTTCACAAAAATTACGGATAAATAAGGAAACATATTATTAACAATAATGTTACGAGTAACAATGATGTTACAAAAACATTACTTTTGGATTGAGTCGCAGCACTTTTTTCTGCTTCTAAATGTATTAACTTTTCACTATCGGTACTTCTAAATGTATAGTCTTTTCTTTTTTAAAAGAAAAATTTTTTTTTTTCAAAACGTTTTTAAGATATCTCTTCTTTACCATAAAATAACCATCTTATTGTGCCCCGAATTAGTATATTTTTGAGCTCTACGTTTAAACACTTGTTGATAGAATAAATGCAATTGTATCAAATCAGAGTAAATGCAGATTTTAGTCCAAATGGATTTGAGTCCCGAAGGACTATTACTTTCGTTTCGGCATTTTGCGTCGGACTCCTATAAATGTCGGTTCACTTTTCAAACTGTTGCCACAAAATGTTAGAGTCCTGCATTATATTTGAAGAAATTAAACAATGAAAAATCTGCATAAATGTATGTATATTTCTCGCATTGTGATAAAATAACGGTACATACAGCCTTCGAATTTTGAATGACGTAATCCTCCAACGAATATGGGCATGGGGAAGACCAAATTTGAAATTTGGAATTTGTTTTATTATCGATTTCCTATTTTGTAAAACTTTAACGAATTTTTGATTAACAAACTCAAGGATTTCAGAGCGAGCAAGGGCAACGTTGTGCAGAAAAAATATTTTGTCTCCAGCGCGTGAGTCTCTGTATGAGAAATTCTAAAGATATGCTCATTTTAAAACTATTTTGCGATATTGATGTAGTACTGGATCTTGTGGTTTAAGTGCGAAGAACATGATATTATATATGAGTAAAGAAAGGTAACACACAAAATGTTAAAAAAATGCCCCTTTGGACGTAATTTAAAATCTGAAACATTTCAATTTTTTTTCTTTTTTTAAATTTTCTTTTAGATGGAAAAGATTACATATTTTCATTTTTCTAATTATGCATCAAATAGATATTGATAGGAAACAACTTCTTGTTAGACTTGTTAGACGTTTCTTAAAAAATCTTATATTGGTAATTGTTGAAAACTAAATTATTAGGGAATACGTTTCACTTTTCATTCAGTTACTTTTCTCGCAACGTTGCAGTCAAAGAAGTATATCTGTATAGTGTTTTAAAACTGCTATTATATTTTTGTTATTCTTAACTAAGAAAGGAATAAAATGGAATTGTTTTTCCAGTACTAATCCTTATAGATTGGCATGTATTTCTATCTACATTGAAAAATGTTGTATAAATATTGTTGCGTGCTTACGGGTTCGTAACGGGTTGAATGCACACAGAACCCATGATAGTTTGAGAAAATTTATTCACGTTGCACAAAAGATACAATTTTACGTGTAATTTCACTAAAATTATTTACATATATATAAAATTCGTAACAATATGTTAACATGGCCTTTGGATTGATAGACTTTTTTTCCTCAGTAGTTTCTTGAATTTAGAATAAAGCTCGTTGTGCGAAAAAAGTACAAGGAACTGTAATTACTGAAAAACCACAAGAAAAGCGTTTTTAAATTATTTCCTTTTTAATAAACATTGCAACGAAAAATACTTTCATAAGTGGATTTGGGACCAGTCATCATTATAGATGTGCATAAAAGACTAAATGGACAAGAAATAGATTTTTAATGAAAAAACTCCAATGAGCACAAAACTGAAAAAACGATTCCGTGACAAATGATAATCAGTAAAGGAGGAAAATCTTTAAACTCAAACGTTTGAATCGTTTGAGATTACAGAATCGTTTGAGTTCTGTACCAGGTACAGAATAAAGTCCTCAAACATCTTTTATTAATCAAAATAATATAGCAAAAGTGTAAAAATACATTAATTCCACGTATATTAAAAATTATAAATATTACTTAAAAATTTATCATTTACAAAGTTTATTAAAGCAAGCCTCAAACCGGTGGCCTACAGGGTGAAACTCACTTGTAGTTAACAAATAAGTCACCGGGGTATTAAATTCAATAGCATTTTAAACTAAATAAAACATAAGTACATCGGTGCTTGTCAAGTTTTGAATATCTTTGGATGTAAATTCCTAAGTAACTTCGGCGGAAAAGTAGAGTAAATTTAAGTAAATTTTTAAATTAAAATTAAAGCGAAGCATACCAGTCTACAGGACTGTGATCGCGAATGATCAACTCAGAAGTCACATGTGTGCTGCAATGCAGTAAACATACATAAAGTTATAAATTTAAATTAAATTTCAAGACGCCGATTAAAACTGTTATTCTCTACTGATATATAAGTTTAGTCTAACTTACAGTCAACATGTATGTTACCAGTGCTGGGCAATGCAGTAATTTTAGATAGATTTTAAAATTTAACAAAAGGCACGCCCCCAGCTGAGCACTTCTAATATTACAGCTGGACATCCAGACGTCTTGTTTTGCATCCGCTAAGTCTTTCTGCACCGATGGGCGAAAAATCAATCTTAAGTGGTGTATCAAGACATGAAGGTACTCGCATACAGTTACAGGATCAATGCTTCCTCGAATATTTTTTGGAGTTAAGGAAGCTAAATCCGTCTGCTCAGCATCAGTATGAAGAGAAGATGCACTAACATAATAAAAGGCACAATTAATACCAAAGCTTGTCTAGCTATCTTGAAATAAAATTATTTTTTTCTGTTCAGATGAAGACGGAAGGTATAATCAAAAAACCAGCAGGTAAGGTACAACAAGTAGGTAAAAACCAGTATTTAAAGGTATTTAATTCAAAGGTATAATAGTTATGTTTAGCGAAGAAGCCGAAAACCCATGTAGCAAAGAGACAGCTCCGAGCGTGACATTCAGCAAACAAAAGGCCATCTCTCATGTAGAATTTACGACGGAACGAATCGCGAAGAAATACGTTAGGAGAGTGTGATAGTGTTTATGGCGACGCCACGAGGGAGAGACAAGAGACAACCTTATAGCCAACGAGAGAGCTACAAGGCTTTCGAAACTGCTATGGACGTGTGGTGCCATCTAGTATTCCGCTTTAAAGTGAAATAAAATTCTCTTAATAAAATAGCATTTGTAGGGTAGATGAATAGCGAGTGTTTTTGCAGTAAATTAAGAGAATGCTGATGACGCCAGATGGATAGATAAACTTTGCGAATATAATTATAAGTTATACTAATTGTTATGATTTACAAATTTTATCAGATTATCAAATTTACAAATCTTATCATAGCTGTTTGGCAACACTTGCTTCTTCCTTATTCATGTATGATTTGTATCTGCCATGTGGCAACAGGAACTAATTCCGAGATATTTTTCAGGTGGGTGTAGTAGTTATTCCGATATTTTTTAAAGCAGAAATGGAAGACGTGATGATGACATGATGATTTCAAATTTAAAATGGAGAGAGGGAAAATTAAACCCGATATCTGTGGATTTCGAATTTTCCTAATTAGACAAAAAAATAAACCAGACATAAGTGAAATATTAATGGCATTGGACTTAGGAATTTAAAAGATTTAGATATCATCTATCGCAGGCAATGAAAGTTTAGCGAATTTTCACTATTAATTTCTCGATTACCGCGCGAATTTTGCTTTTCATTTTTCTCCCTGATAATATTACTGCCCCAGCAATCAGCAATGCATCCGGCAACAAGAACGTGGAATAGTATTGTGTTTAGAGTTGTTATGTCCAGAAATTCGAAAACATATCAATTAAATATAACAATATTATTATATTATAAGTCAATTATTATGCATTAGATGTCTGTTCAGTATACAATTTTATTCCCTAATCCGAAGTTTTATTATCAATTATCCAGAATTCGCCGAAAACGAAATACCTTTAAATAGTCCAAACTAACTGGAGATTATAAGTCAATTGTGCCTTCGCTGGAGTTCAATGTTTCGGCAAATCAAAGGGTTGTCTGCAGATTTATGATTTTTCGATTAGTTAAATGAGTACCAGAGTTTCTATTAAGGACATTCTTTTCAGGAAAAGTAACTAATAGTCTGTTCAAGTAATTTGGCATGTATTTCAAATTTTAATTTAGATTATCTAAAAGGCGAAGCGAAGTTCCTCAAATTAAAAAATTCATCAGTGAAACTCCATTTTTCCTTACAGGTGCAATTAATTCGATCAGGTGGCTGCTAGCTAATTAGGAACGAAGTTCGTATAGTCGTCTGCGTCAAAACGGATATATTTGTGAAAGATTTGAATGAAATGAATTTACATTTATTTAAATTGTTAAAAATTTATTCTGGGAAGATGTATAGGTGAATTTTTGATCTAAATTGTAACATTCTGCAAGTTGTTGTTTTTCAAACCGATGATTCAGTAAATATTTCTAATTCACTGACTGTAAAATGTACATAAAATAGTGAGTCATAAGCACAAAATACCATTGTCTCAATTTTATATATATATATATATAGATATATATATTTGATATTTCTACATTATATGTTGCTACTGAAAACAGAATTCTGCACATCTATACTAGAAGAAGCAAGATCATTATTTTCTAAATCTTCTTTAGACTCAAGTTGATTGAAAGTTTCTTCTTGGAATTTTCTTTCGCCTACTGGATCGGATCTCTCACTTTGCAATAACGGTACTTGAAAACCTTCCTTGCCTTCCGATGCCATTTGCTCAGAACTGTCCTTCTGATTAGGTTTTATCTTGATGGACAAATCTGGATTGGAGTTGATAATGAACACCCGTACTCCATTGCAGTCGGAGTTGACTCGGGAAACTGGCTCTCGAATAAACTGTTTCAGCTCGGGAAATATTTCTGATTCTGGAATTTTGATTAAAAGTACAAGTGCTTAATCTTACGGTTTATAAATACAGATACTTATATTTCATAATAATTTTAGATACAATGCAAAGTTCATTTATGTTTGAATGACACAAGTCATAAGGTAGCAATAAAGTTCCTTTTTGTTGTTGTACGTAAACAAATTTTATTGCATTTAGTAATAATGAAATGATTTTTAAATAAAAAATTAATTTCGTTTCATAACTTCATTGCTGCACAGAAATTTTTTTAACGGAATTCGGGACTTAATGAAAATTCGACGCAATAATCGCCAGAGGAGTATGAAACTAGGACTTTCAGCTGGACTTGATGCTTATGTAGCATTCTCTTCAGTTTGCTTTCTTGTCTGAGCAAAATGTTTGAGAGAGATGCTCATTCTGGACTATAAAATGTCATCAAGTAAACTAACCTTACTCAAAAAAAGCGATCAATTTTCTTTCAAAAAGAACCTTCTATTATTCACCAGAGCTTATTTATTCCACAATATATTGCAGAAGATTTTACCAAGAAATAGCAGGCTTGGCAGGCTTTTATACGTTCTCGATTTCGAGAAAGCATTTGGCGGTTTCTGGAACAAAAGGTTAATTTGTAAGTTACCTTCTCTTCGGAATTAACTTCCTTAAATTGATAAAGTCATATCTTGGAAGGAAGAGGTTTCAAATTAGGATGGAAAAATGCTTTTTGGCTAAGAAATTCTCTTTCTTTTTAGAATACCTAAAAGATTGATACTGGGACCAATTCTTTCTAAATTCATACATAAACGACCTTCTGGAACTTCTCAACAAGTTCACTGCAAAATATGCTGATAACATGATCAGGCTACGGAAATCAACTTGATCGCTAATAAATGCAACATTTTGCTTTTCAGAATATTTCAGAATAAACGAGTCAGTTTAGACGTTAATGAAACTATCTTCTAGACCTTAAGAGTATCTCAATGTTATTTTGAACTCAACAATGAGTTTCTCGCTACATGTGGCATATGTTTTGGGAAAAGCAAATCTATAGCGAAAAAGCAAAGGTCGTCTAGAATTCCGCTTCGTTAGTCGATAATTCTGATTAATTCAGTAAATCTTTCTAAAACTCGGAGAACGGTACACATGGTAGTCTTAAATCAAAACCAAACTGCACGGCGAATTAACCCCTTATTTGGCGACATGGCTATGGCTTTATGGAATTTCTGTACTCTATTGCGACATTATTTGGCGATTTTATCTTTTATTTTACAATTTGACTTATTATACAATCTTCAGACCTGGAGAGCTCAACTAGAGAAAAATGTAAAAGGGCTAAAGAAAGCTCTCAAAGAAATTGCATATATCAACTCTAATGCTGATAATATTAAACCTTTCTCACAGCATATAGCCCGAACTCAGAACTGTCGGTCGCAAAGTACATCTCTCAGTCTCATATAACGTTTAATTTGTAATGTGAATATTTTCTTCGTGTTGTCTAAGCCTTTATTTTGTAAATAGTATATAAACATTTCTGTGAATTATTATTTTGATAATTGCATATATTCTATAAAAAGTTTCTGCAATATCTAACACAGCATCTGATTCTATGCAATTGATGTAAATAATTTTTTAATTTATGCAGTGCAGCTTTATGTATCGCTTGCAGCAACACAGGACTCCAACGTATATTCTTCAAGGGCCTTGTACGCCCAGATTTTCTCTTCTAGATGACACGCAATAACAGCTTAAGCATGAAAGCAGCTCTGTTGTCCTCATGGGGGCAAGAGTTTGATAACAAGCGTAATGCATTTTCCATGATTATCATATGAGTAATGATTCCATGATAATTCCATGATTGATCACAATGAGTAATGCATTTTCCATGTTTTCTTATATAACTGGGTGATGATTCGCTAGCCTGATAATGATATCCAAAAGGTAACATTAACCGCAATCACATTAAACGGTGTCTTTAAACCAACATATTTTTTAAAAATGCAGAAATTGCGGTGCATATGAGTAATGATTCCATGATAATTCCATGATTGATCACAATGAGTAATGCATTTTCCATGTTTTCTTATATAACTGGGTGATGCTTCGCTAGCCTGATAATGATATCCAAAAGGTAACATTAACCGCAATCACATTAAACGGTGTCTTTAAACCAACATATTTTTTAAAAATGCAGAAATTGCGGTGCATATGAGTAATGATTCCATGATAATTCCATGATTGATCACAATGAGTAATGCATTTTCCATGTTTTCTTATATAACTGGGTGATGCTTCGCTAGCCTGATAATGATATCCAAAAGGTAACATTAACCGCAATCACATTAAGCGGTGTCTTTAAACCAACATATTTTTTAAAAATGCAGAAATTGCAGTGCTCTTTGATTTACTAGCTATTCACTATCATTTACTAGCTGTCGCTGACATAATGAATGAAGCATAATTATTATCATACGAAAATTCAACTCGATTCCCCCCCCCGTATGTTCCAAACAAAAACTTTCATTTTTACTTATTTAGGTAATAATTTAAGTCATACAAGTTCAATGCATGATGATCGGCATTAATTTAAGTCATACAAGTTCAATGCATGATAATCTGCACGGTCATTAAAAAGATCTCTGCAATAATACACCTAGCATTTATTATGGTTTTGAAAAAAACACAGGAACAATATGCACAGTCAGCATAACCTCTAATTTAAAGATAAGACATTTTACCAATATTCTGCCAGGATTCGTTTTGAAAAGATCCCATCCCACTAGATTCAACTTCTGTAGCAGATGGCATGGCTTCCTCAAAAGCATCATTTCGGTTCACAGTCTTCGTTGTTTGATGTTCTTTTTCTTCCATCTAAAGGAGAGGTAATGCAATGATTAATGCTCAAATTAATGTGCAATTGCATGTGCATGATAAACTATGCTTCAAATGTTCCAATTCTATCAACATAATAAAATGTTATGACAGTTTGTGGTGTTTAATCACAAGTGCTCATCTCTCCCATTTGTGACAGAAGACTGTTTAAAATGCTTTCGCTCTGTAGATTAAACTTCATCAGTGTTGTTATAAGCCAGAGATAGGAAAAGCCAGCCCGCGGGGTGAATGCCGCCCTTTTACTTGCATAATCCGGCCCGTTATGAAATCCTATGCAACAATATTTTCATCTCTTTCATACCCGAATTTGTATGAAAACTGCTGAAATTCTCAGTGCGCAATCTGTTTTTTCAGTGTATATGAGCATATATACGCATAATTATACTAACGGTCAACCTAAGCTGAGGCCACTAGGTATGGTAGAAAGCCAGGACTAAAGAGTTATTTATTTAGTTATTTATTAGAGTTACTATTTATCCCTGGTAGAAAGCATGTGCACACACAGCTTGTTCTATCATTTCTAGCAGCATTTAATTAAGAAATCAAGCAATAGATTTAAACATATGAGTATTGTTGAGATTAAAAGACTAATCAGAAGAGAGAACTTAGGGAAAGAACATTTCATCCTTAAATTTTTATTTAAAAATATAACAGTGACGCATGTCATTTGATGACCAATAGGAGCAGAATCCATTTTTGCGTATTTACCGAAATTATAAGCTTTATTTATTTGTTTGGTTTGCTTGCTTTCCATTATGGCAAAGCATGCGACGACTGTCTCGCGTAAGTGAAAGGATGCTTTTCGTGAGGACTTTATGGAGAAAATTGGTTCGTATTCACATTACACATAAGGGTACACAGCGGTTTTGCAACTAAAATCAGAAATTAAAACAAATCTTAATTTTCAGAGCATGTTGAGAAATCATTTTGCAATTAATAAAAATTAATCTATTCAAAGTAGATTTAACTTTTAATTTTCCCTAATTTTGCATAACAAATTTATTTTAAGTCGGATACATTTACTGAACTTCTCAACTTCTCCTCCCATTTTCTCGCCAGGATGTTTCGCTGTTACGCTACTCAGCCTCTTGGCCATTTCGGTTTATCATCATGCCTGTTAGGTTTTTGTGAGTTAACCTGTTAGGCGTAACTTAAGTGCTATCCAGCACTGCTTATTTTAGATTTTGGCTTAAATTATATTCTACGTTTTCAGTTTCACCACAAGTTTGACGGTGCCATTGTAAAGCACGAAGATAGTGCCCTTCTGTTAACTATTTTTGAATTCAATAAAAAGTTACTTTCACTCTTCTTCTGTGCTGGTATTTATTCACGCCTGTGCGAGAATTCGCCAAGTTCAATGTAGGATCTAATTTAGTTTATGTGGAAAAACAGAGAACGACTGCAAACTGAAAAGGGTTTTTCTAGTTTTTTGTATGTCTAGAATGGTCATAAATTTTGTACTTGTTGATACTCAAGTATTTATTCATAAGACACCACATCTATTCATAAACATAAGAAAAAAAAAACTGTTTAAATCCGTGGAAGAAATTTAACTGAAATTTTGAGACAGTATCAGAAACTGAAAGGCTTCTTCCTTAGATGAAATTATGGCTTCTTTACTTCTATGTACATACATAAAGGAGGTAATGTTTCGTTAAAAAAAAAATTCAATAGTGTATTTTCAGTGAATAATCACAGATTACGGTCCCCGCACGTTTTGACTATTTTTACATTGATTTATCTCTTCTGTTTTCCGTATTCTTTCTACATTTATATAAAGAATTGATTATATTTTATGTAAAATTAGACAGAGGGAAGTAGCACTTTACAGGAAGCCCATAACAGTCTTTAATGCACAACTGAAGTGGTACTTTACTCGAAGTCCATAACAGTTTATAATCAAAAACTAAATTAAATGCAATCTAAAACTTTTCAATTTTAGTATTAAAATTTTTATATCACTGGGAACAACATATTAGATTTTGGCTAAAACTGATGAACCGGAAGTAATACTTGAAGCTCTGGACAAACTTTCTTGAAAAAATATATTACAAGATAACCCGAAACGTCTCAAATTTGATATTTAAAATAGGTATGTGACTGAGAATAGCATATCACATTTATATATAAGCCTTTTAGGTATCCTTGGAATTAGGCGAAATGCAAAGAGAATAATATCATTATGAAGACAAGCTCCCGCTATAATATATTATTCTCAATCCTCAGTTTTGTGTTCGTTTCAGTTTTCAATCGAAACACTTGTCAAATGAAACGATGCTGCCATCAAATGTTATTGCTATGCATTATTTTTAAGAAAACAATACATCAAATATAAATAATATAGCGAATATAAAAAGAAATGTGTGGCAGCATTTAACACTGTATTGGGAATTCTAAAGACAGCTGCTTTTAAAAATTCTATGATTGTCAAATGATGGATTTTTGAATCCGAAACACTGTATGTTCAGAGGATATAGTGCGATCGCTATTATATTTTTAAATCAAAGTATAAGACAGGATGTGTACACCAGGACGTATAGTTATCACTGCCCGTTGCATGGTAGAGTAGAATAATAAAAAAAGTGTAGTGTTTACAGTTGACACTGACCCATAAAGTTTATAAGCAAATTACATTTTACTTACAAATGATCAACCTGAAATGATATTTTATTTAAAGCTCCTTGCTTCTCATTAGGTCATGTGCTGCTCATATCAAATTGTTTTTACTTTCTTATCTTCTATATTTAAGTTTTAATTCAGTGGTTCTCAATCTTTTTTGCCCCATGCATTCCTTTCACCATTGCTAGACTATCTGTCCTTTCCAAAACACGAAACAAGCATATAAATTTATTTAAGTTTAAAATATTTTTTAATGTATTTTATAAATTAAGCAAGACAAAGTTTCGAAAATGTTAATAAATATCAAAACTTGATTAAAAGTAGTTTTTTATAGATTCATAAACTAAAATTAAATAATTAAGTGGCAAATAAAGGGCTGATTGTATTCCTCCTTCGGTTTGGTTTATTAGATTACGGCAAGGCACTCGAGGGCTATCTGCCTTAAGGGAGGGATGCCTTCGTGGAGGACTTTCTAAGGGAAACTGGCTCGTATACACGTTACACATGGGGAAAACCACGAAAACGCCCATGCAGCCAGCCCGTTCGCGGGATTCGAACCTCAGACCGAACTACCAGTGTTCAGCGACGTTACCGCTCGGCCGCTGGTGGGCGTATTCCTCCTTCCCCCGAAACTATGAAATTTCTTCCCTGGTTGAGAACCCTTGGTCTAATTGCATAATTATTTAGATATCAAATTGTAAATGTTTCAGATAGAATCCATTGAGAATTAAAATACCTCAGAACTCCTTTGCGGTACTCTGCGTTCCAAATCCATTCTCATTCCTTCGTGTATGCGACTACTTATCCTTCTCGTAAAATCTGCCGGCCTTGAGGATGAATCGTTGAACTTAGTGTAGTCTTCTTCCTCGTTGTCGTCTTCGTCCATAAAACCTTCAGTATCAGAACTGAGGAAAAATAAAATTAGCCTTCTTACTATATACCCTTTAGTATCAAAAAAAGTTTGCTGTGTTTATGTCCCAAATTTAAGTGCATTATTTTATTGCTTCTTTACTGTTTTATTTTTCCAGCAGAACTCTGACGTTCAGTTTGTCAACAAGTTAAGACAAGGGAAATTGAAAATCTTTTTTCAGTATGCCACTGAAGATTTTGAATGTAAAAGCTCGCCATTTTTACTTCCTCGTACGAAATAAAAAGAAGTATTGTAATCGCGAAAAGTTTCAGGCAGCATATTTCAACGAAAATATCCATTTTGACCGCTGTCGAATGCAACATGTTTCTGCGTGACATCTGTACATAATGACTGAATAAAAGACTTTTCCCCCAAACAAATTATAAAACTGATTTAAAATGAATACTAAAGATAATTTTTCGGGGCGTCTGTACGTACGTACATTACGTATTTGAGTTATGCGAGATACGTACATACGTGCGTACGTATCTCGCATAACTCAAAAACGAATAGCCTCAGAACGTTGAAATTTTGTATATAGGATTGCTATAACATATAGATGTGCCCCTCGTATTTTGGTTGCAATCGATCTTACCAAACGTATATAAATATATGTATATATATATATCCACTCTGTTACCCGCCTCAGTAATTTCAGTTTCTTTACTCTTATATGTTTGTAAATTGTGCAATTCTTGCTTTAAAAATGATTGAATTATGTTGTTTTTATCCTCTGGTTAAGGTTTTTATGCCTTTAGTAAATCTGCAGGCAATATCTGGGGAATTTTCAACAATTTAAAAGTTGTTTAAGTGCAGCTAAGCCTAGTTATTTTTGCGATGGCGGACATGTTTGTTTACATTTCAAACTTGGCAAAATAGCGGATTTGTTGTCAATCTAGAGAAACTAAGCTTTGCACAACAAAGATAACGCCTTCTTTTATTATTGCGAATTAAATCATGTTTAATCCATTCTGGAGTATATGCCGCCCAGTCGGTATAGTGGTCAGGGAAGCTGACTGTTATGCCGAAGAGCCTGAGTTCAAATCTCGGAAAAGGCAGAGTTGTAACTGTCCATCCCTTCATAGAAAAGGCGATGGTGGCCCACCTGTTAGGTGCCTCCATAATAAAGAGACCAACACATCCAGCCTTGTATAGATTAACGGACTGGGTTACATTTGTAATTGTTCACGATCTGCCATTGGAAAGAAAAAATTCTGGAACTTATTCGAGGAAGTAAGTGTTTGAGATTTATTTCGTAATTTTTAACATAGATATATTTTAGTTTTTATGTATTTTTGCTTTGCCGGGAAGTGACAACTGAATTGATTGAATGAGAAATATTGAATCGTCTGTGAAAACCTGTTTCTTTTTTTGATTTGTTGGCTTATAAATTAAGCTTGATTTGTTGGCTTATAAATTATTGATTTGTTGGCTTATAAATTAAAAACTTAATTAAATTTGTTGGCTTTTAAATTATTGATTTGTTGGCTTATAAATTAAAAATTATTGATTTGTTGGCTTATAAATTAAAAACATCGTTTTAGATTTGTTATAGTATTTGGATAGAGCATGTGGCAACGATTAGATAATTCTTCAAATGATATCTTTATATGGCTAAAGTGTGTGTCGACGATAGTTTATTGTTGTCACTCGGAAAAATGAGGGCGGAAATTAACGTTTCCGCAGTTTTTAATTAATATCTCGGCCGATTAAAGTCGTACGAAGATGAAAATGTTATCGATGGATTCGGAGAATTTTTTGGAATCCGAGGATATGCGTCTCGAATTTCAACTCGGCGCCGTTCCGTAGATATTCGAGAAAAAAGAATTTGGCACGTAGCCAAATCCCTCTAGTAGGGAAAACCCAAAAAAGTGGACAATGGAGGGGGAAATTAGTTTTTAATTAATATCTCGGCTAATTAAAGTCCCAAGAAGAAGCGAATGGTCAAAATGGCGTGCCACAGACCTGCAGAATCCAACGGTGTGCTTCGCTAAGCCCGGGTGCAAGCCGTTTCGAAGGAGAAGCTGTTACTTCACCCCATATATATCTGCGGCTTAAGTGTCTGTTTGTCGCCGATAGTTTATTGGTTGCTTGCGTAATTGTACTAGCCAATGGGGTGAAGTTGCCACGGCACAGTGTTGCCGTTTCAATTGAGAAGTGGACAATTTCCTGTAAAACTTGCCTTTGCTATAACCATCAATAATTCTCAGGGCCAAACGCTTAAGCGTATTGGCATTTTTTTACCTGAGCCAGCATTTGTACACAGTCAACTTTATGTTACCTATTCAAGAGTTCGTGAAAGAACGGACGTAAAATTAAAATTAATGGATGGTCCTCTGCAAGGCGAGCTTAAAAATGATGGAAAGATCTACACAAGAAATGTTGTGTACAAAGAGATCTTTGACATGTGAATTAACATTTCATTATTTAAATCACCTTTATTTATTGAGCTAGCGGTGGCTCTTAAGAAATGTACCGCCAGTGGTTTCCTTCATTGCACTCTACTTTAAGCAATTAAGCAAGTAGAAAGGGGAAACCCCGTGGGGCAATAAGCAAAAAAAAGGGATGTCCTCGCCGCCTGCCCTGGGTAATTCAGTTTAAATTAGCAGACACCTTTGTACAAATCATTTTAATTACAATTTATAATATCTAGAACAGCGGTCATTTCGTATGACCGCCGGGCATTCTAGTAAACTTATATGCATTCTGAGTTATAATATGAGCGAAACTTAGCGCCAGAATGTCGCTATGGTAAACAAATATAGTGAATTTTATTAAAGAGTGCATTTATTCTTTTGTGGTTTATGCGCTATCGACGAAGTAGATTTAATTCAATCCAATAAATTTAAAATAAAACGCAAGAAAAAATTCATATAATTTAATATTCCGTACAAGGAAATCATGGGGTGTACACATCAGATTTTTTTAATAACTTTTGAAACATAATCATTATTTTATTCATTGAATATCTCTTCTTGGTTTGGTTTATTTCGTTATAGCAAAGCACTCGAAGACTATCTGTCTAAGAGTAGGTATGCCTTCGTGGAGGACGTTTTAAGGGAAACTGGCTAGTATACATAATAAACACCAAGGAAATCACAAAACGCTCATGAAGGCGTTGGAACCACGGACCGAACTACCACTGTTCAGCGACTTTAGCTCTCGACCGCTAGTAGGTCCTTTCTTCACGGAGACAAAACCAAAAAGTTAGATTTTACACTTAAAATCTTCCAGTCAACTGCGTCACTTTCTTAAAATTTTCTATTTCATTGTGCAAAAATTGCGAAACTGCAGATGCATTTTAGAAAATAAACCACGTGTCTGGTTTTTTCGATCACACTGGCTTATTTGATAAAGGGAAACGCATTAGGGCTACCTTCCTTATGAGCAGAAATGCCTTCGTAGAAGAATGAAAGAACTTAAGCTGGCTCGCATTTATATTCGAAATAAGGAACCACATGCATTCAACCTGTTCGATTGCAGACCCATCAGCAACCGCGTGATTATGAACGGTAGTAATTCATTCTGAGTTCGAATCTAAGAAAAAGGGTTGGCTACATGCATGTTTTCTGTAATTATTTCAATATGTAGCCCGAATATGAGTGAGATTTCTTTAGAAAATCCGCCACTAAGGCACCGATCTCATAAGGCAGATTACCCTCGTGTGCTTTGCCCTCTTATGTTAAAACAAGTAATATATTTTTTTTAAAAAGTCAATTCCTACTTAGGTCAACAAAAAACAAATAAATAAATAAGTAAATAAATAAATAAAAATTTAAATACAAAAAATAATTTTTAATTAAGAATTTAAAAATTTTTAATATATGAAAAAAACTGTATTAACATCAAGTGTCATCCACTACAAGTTTAAAAAATGCATTTGAACTTGAGTGGATGAACAAGTATTTTATTGACGACTGAAAATTAATTAATTAATAATTAATTAAATAAAACAGTTCTTTAAAGTCAATTTTTTCTTATATCAAAAAAGAAAAATTTTAAAAATACAAAATAAATAAATAAATAAAATTCAATTCTCCTTTTTTTTTTTTTTTTTTTGTTGGTGTGTGTGTGTGTGTGTGTGTGTGAAAAAACTGTATTGACATTAAGTATATCCACTACAAGTTTAAAAAAATGTATTTGAACTTAAGTGGATAAATAAAAAGTATTATATTAACGATTGAAAATTTGAACAAGATATAGGGAGAGCGTGAGCTAATAGAAGGAATTTAAAAAGAGAAGATCAAAAAGAGCAAGTGTGGCATGGACGCATTCAGCTGATCTTACAAAGACCAAATCGGCAAACCTCTTCCTCCTGTCATCCCGCAATTTGAAAGATAGACCAAATTTTCCCAGTCTCCACGATGTGCGCTTATCACATCAAGCGAAAGTGCATTCTTTAGCATTAAATTTGCCGCAATTTATCATTATATTTTAGGCGTTATTATTAATATTTGACAATTTTAACAATGTTTTTACCCGAAACATTTTGTACCGTGAAGTTTTTAATTAATTTCATGATTTATTTTTTTAACTATATTTCTCGCTGTTGCGCATAGTTTAAGTTATGTTGGAAAATAAATTAAATTAATAATTGATCCACCTTCGTTTAATCCTTATTTAATATTATTATTTATTCGTTTAATCTTATCGCCAAGTCTCAAAATGTATGTAAGACTTCAATGTTGGGTTTATTCTCTACTTTATACTTCTCCCATTCTCATCCCATACAATTCATACCGTAGTGAGTTTCACGCTTTCTCTTATGGTCTCCCTTCCATGGTTGGGCTATGGTCTTTTATAATCTTCATTCATTACAGATTCGAGGGCTTATTAGTGTTCCAAGAAACAACCTGCTCAATCGATGAGAATACAATTCAGAACGAACAATCAGTGTTTCATCGCTTTTAGCTACTCGACCACTGGTCTGTCTTAGCTACCTCATTCAAACAGCCTGTACATATATAAGGAATTTTCCCATTTCTACTACTACGTTTTCTTTAATCTAGTTTTAAGAGCACTAGCCAGTATAAGATAATTAAATACATTTTTACTTCCTTTATCATATTTCATACTTACTTTATCATATTTCAACAAAAATAACCTTTTGACCACTCTCGGTTCCATCTCAACGATGTTTTTGCGTTACATATGACATGTGTACATACGGACAGAATAATAGACTCTTTTCCCAAAAGGGATTGTGAAATGGATTTAAAATGGATTCAGAAGAGATTTTCTTTTTTTGTCACATCTGTTTGTACATATTGTATGTGTCTCACATAACTCAGAAGGCTCAGGTACGAAGCACATGGAGAACAGGCGCCTAGGAAAAAAGCCTCATCCTGTATGTAACGCATGGCGAAATGACATGGCTTTCCTACTATAAAATTAGTACGTGTTGGCTGAGGATTCTAAAGAAAAAAGAATTTTCACAAGATGTTGCGATGATAAGAGCCTTCCGTATTACCACCTTTGGAGAAGAAGGTAGACTCCATAAGAAGTAGAAGAAATTAAGTCCAGAATATAGTTGTGAGGATTTCCTGCTTTCCTATTCGTTCGTCATCGAGGTCGGTTAAAAATCTTTTCTAATCTTCGGATTCTGCGAATTTTGTGAGTAGCCTCAGAACGTTGAAATTTTGTATTTGAGACTGCTATAACATGTAGATGTGCACCTGTCTTTTTCGTTGCAATGGGCAGCACTAGAAGTATATAAATGTCCTATATATATATATACACTCTGTTACCCTGCTCGGTAAATTAAAGAAAACGTAGTAGTAAAATGGGTAAGTTTTTTCATTCTTACATGTTGGTAAATTGTGCATTTTTCGCTTTAAAAGTGATTGAATTATATTGATCTATTCCGGTTAAGGTTTTTATGGCTTTACTTAATCTGCATGCAATAGTTGTAGAATTATCAACAATTTAAAAGTTGTTTAAGTGCCACTGTGCCTAACGACGCCGCCATTTGAAGCTTAGTAGCATATTGAATTAAGTCATTTTCTGCACCAGCTTTAGTGTCTTTTTACCGAGTGAAACCAAAAGTTTTGTGCACCGAAAAAGCTGTCTTTCTGTCTAACTTTAATGAATTTAAACTACAATTGTAACTGTAAAAATTGTTTTAAACCGCTTTTTAATTTAGTGTTTTAGGTTTTTCTGTGTTTTACAGTTTTTAATGAAGATGTTTTGAATTTTTATGCATTTTCCCTCGCGGCGAAGTGAGAACTGAATCTCTAATGAAATTCAGGAAAATGAAGTTTATATGAAATGCATCAAAAAATGTACATAATTAACAGGACGTGCAAGGAAGTCATGTGGGGTGTCCACATAAGATTTTTTTTACCGCATTGTTATAATTGCGTGTTAATTAAATATACATTAAATTTCTAAGAATAAATCATAAGCTGTAAATGCTTTAGGAAATTTAAGATTTACCGTTCATATACGTATAACATTTCAAATTTCATCTTCCGTTGTGGTAGTATCATTTTAAATAAATTACGTTACCTGTAACATGATTCTACTTCTTGCTTCATTGAAAAGCGGAGAGATTCCCACAAAGTGTAAATATACAAAGGTAATCCAATACTGCCGGAGATATACATCATAAATTTCACCATTATCTCCAGACCACTCTAAATATAGAATATATCGATTAAAAACTTCCAAATAATTGCACAGAAGATCTAAATACGTAAACATTAATTTAACAGTAATTTTGTCTATGGTAATTCTTTAGATCATTTTCCCGTTTAAAAATACTTCTCATTTAAGAACGTGAAGTTTTCGTTAAATATATGATTATAAGAAATTTATTATTCAAGTAATGATATTTGACATGCTAGTAAGAATTAAAATATTGTTTCCAGTGAAATTATTTCTTATGCTTTAAGAAAATAGAGCATGCCTGTAAAAATGTAGTTGTTTATAATTTATTTACAAGGTTGAAAGCTCTGAACGTTTTCAGATCTTGAGTAAATTTATCAAATCATACCGAATTTCTATTAAAAAGTAAAATAACAATGAAAAACGTCATAAATAAATTATAGTGTGAATAGAAATAATGTATGCATAATTGTAATGGTTTCATCTTCCAAATCGGAAAAAAGCGAGCACTCCAGAAATCACAAATGAAATGATAGCAGTGGCAGTGATGCTTTAAATCGCCGAAGATTCGGTAATGGGAAAAACAAGGTCTAGTCCAGGGATTGATCAAACTGTCGACTAGGAGTCGATAGCCGAGTATGCACCGGTAATTGATGGGATAATAAAGATCTCATTCATTACGAAAACGTTTCTTAATAAAATTCGTAGTAATTGTTTATTGATATAAAGCTGTATCGTGTAGTAAGAAAAACATCGTATAAAATAAATACAAAAGAAAAATTAACCTAGAATTGTATAATATATTTCATAAATCAATAGCATTTTCTGTTATAAATTTTTATTTTCATTTTCTTAATGTATAAATTTTTTGTGCAATAAGGGTAATTTACAAAGTAAAACGCAAGAACACAAAAAGCACAATAAAAAAAAGAACGCAAAACTAAAATGGAGAACAAGAAACAGGCTGAATATTTTTAAACGAGGCGATTTAAAAATTCAATTAAGCAATTTTATGTCAAATATTAAAAATATTGCATTAATACATCAAGCCATTTCATTAAGTGAACTCGAATTTTTGTGCAGTTAGAATATGTGATTGCGTTCCTAAAACTTGTTTCTATCCCAAAAATTAAAATAACTATAGTACAAAATATAAGAAAATATAAATTTAGTCAACCGTTTCCTTTTTTTTTTTTTTTCCAAAACATATGTTTGTATTCTTAGCCTAATTGTTATGAGTTATTTATGTGCAGTTATTTGTTATGTTATGTTAAGATTATGTTGTGTGCCCTATATAATAGAGAAAAAAGTGAGTGTGTCATGAAGAAAATCATTTCTTTTAAAGGGGTCGATGCAAGAAAATGGTTGGAAATCCCTGTTCTAGTCTATAAGGTGTTGGAGAAAGGACGAAGTTCAGCTACTACTATTTTATTACATAAAATTAGTCAGTTATATCCATAATATCTTTGTCTATTGTTTCGATACCTGCCGAAAGTTATAATTTACTGTGTTTTTCTTGTAGTGAAATGCTTGAAGAAAGATAGTATGGTGACTCACACATTCTTTCCATCGTACGGTTCTTAACAGGCAATAAAAACATCTTACAAAAACTGTCTAAACTCGGGTGCTGTATACTAATTATTCATATTTTTTTTCATTCATTATGTAGGGAAAAAAATCTGAACAATACTTTTGTTTTGAAGTTTTATCAGAAAAGCGAAAATTATCTATAGCTTTTTTTCGTTAAGCTTAAAAGGGTATTTATTTAGAGCTTGCATAAAATCAAACTTTCGTAAAGTATGTACTTTAACAGTTTTAAAACGGCCTGATTCGTCATTTAAATATAAATTATTTAGTTACATGTTAAAACCCAGCTTCAAGCAAAGAATTACCACGAAATTTCAAATCACAATTATTTAAGTGCATTGAGTTCTGTTTTTTACACGGTAGATATATTCCTTAAAAAGTGTGTAAAAAAATGCAGTTCATTATAAAAAAAACTAGAAAGTTCTTTTCAGAAGGTAAAACCTCTTCAGTGAAATACACTCATGTCCATAAATTAAGGATAATTCGGAGTCACGCAGAAATCGAACTCTAAAATAAATATATCACCTGTAAAATCGCTACACACATCTTCAAGAATCATATGCAAATTTCAGGAAGTAACCAGATGACACCGCTGGTACGTCACAATGACGAGAGTTTCAGAGAGTGCTATATAAGGAATACAGGCAAAGAAGTAAAATTGTTCGCAGACGCTTTATAAGCATTTCTGTGCAATAACCGAACAGTTATGACACAAAAGACGCATTTGGATGATTTTTTACGTGGTAGAATTATCGGCCGCTGGAATGTGGGCGTACCCAACTGGAAGTATCAGACGAACGTGGAATTGCCTAGAGTGTCATCTCCAGGCTTTGGCAACGATTCCAAGATTATGGTAATGTGAGTAGACGTTACAGCACAGGTCGCCCCAGAGTTACAACGCCGAATGAGAATCGGTATTTGGCAGTTACTCCCAAAAGAAACAGGCGGAGCACAGCCTCAGAACTGTCTCGTCAGCTCCCTTCAGCCACTGGTACGTCAATTTCAAGACAGACTGTGTACAGACGCTTAGGGCAGATTGGTCTATATGCTCGTAGACCTGTCAGATGCGTTCCACTTACTGCAACTCACTGTCGCCTGCGGCTAGCCTGGAGTACAGAGCATGCATTGTGGACACCGCAACAGTGGGCTTGTGTGATGTTTTCCGACGAGTCCAGGTTTAGCTTGCAGTCTGATTCTCGCCGGACTTTCATATGGAGAGCTCCAGGTATGACAGTTTCTACAGACGTCTGTACCGGGTTTGCTTTGAAACTGTCATACGCGTGGCTGAAGATAGTTGATGAGACAGGTCTGATGCTGTGCTCCGTCTTCTCCTTTTTGTAGTTACTGCCAAATACCGTTCGTCATTCGGCGTTGTAACTCGGGGGGGGGGAGGCGACCTCTACAGTAAAGTTTATTGAGATTTCTATAATTCTGGAATCGTTTCCAAGGCTTATATATGACATTTTGGGCTATTCCAAGTTTCTTGAATACTTCCATCTGAGTACGCCCACATTCCAGATGACCGATAATTCTACTACATAAAAAGTCATCTACATGCATCTTCTGTGTCATAACTATGCGGTTGTGACACTGAGCGGCTGACAGAACACTTGTGAAGAATTTTATTTCTTTGCTACCGTTACTTATATACTCTCATCATTGTGACGCACTATCGGCGTCATCTGTTAGCTTCTCGTAATTTGCATATTATTCTTGAAGATGAGTGCGATAATTCTATAGGTGAAATTATTACTTTAGAGGTCGATTTCCGTGTGATTCTAATTTTCCTTAATTTATGGACATGAGTGTAATTTAATGCAACGAGACTGTAAATTTAGATCCAAAAATGAAGGCACCTCCATTATCCCATGTTTAAGTTTTCATAGTAAATTTTTTTTAATCTGTGAAAATTGTAAAATTATTTTTTTAATAAATGCATCTCTGACTTTCAGCTTGCACTGTGTATGCATGATCTTTAGATTGTTAATCTTGACGAAATGATATTCATGTAGTTAAACAGTTGATAAAATTTTGCTTTAGCACCAAGTACATGTAAGATGATAAGGATTATGTAAATCAAAATTATAATTTCAATTAACAATAGCATTTTGATTTGGGTATTTTCCCTATCTACTCTAAAAATAATAATGTTTCTTGCACGGCATCATTTCTAAATTAATTCTTATGTAATGATTTTTACATAACGATGATGACGTAACTAATTCGGAACCGAAAATTTCGAGAACCGAAGCCCTTCTCTCAGTAAGTTTCCATATTAAATACGCCCTTTGCTTCTACTTCTCTTGCTGTTAAGATGCTGCTGCTTGTTACCTCTTTTCTTTCGCAAAGCTATCAAGAATATAAATTTATCAAAAGTATAAATGTATAATGCCACAAAACAAGATTAGAGTGCCAAGTGAATTGTGACCACAAATGTCAACTTAAATTAAAACGAATATTTAATCTGCCTCGGCTGCCAAGTTTGCTCTCCATTATGGATCAATATCTTAATATTTACGAAATTTAGTATTTCTACATCTACGCTATCAGCTTTCATACATTGTTACATCTAAATCTGTTTCATTACATACATACCTCTAATCCACTGCTGTCGATGAATTCTTTTGTTCCAAAGCATAAGGTGACAGCCAGTATCACAGGTACAATAAATAAATTCATCGCATAAAAACAATGTTGTAAATTCTCAACGACTTTCACTCTATCCAGTACCTAGCGAGAAAAACACAAAGAAAGCACATTCACACTAATATGTATTATACTTTGATGACAGTACGAAAATAAGTATATATCAACAGAATAACAACGTACTCTTTTCAGAGCTTTCCATTTATTAAATTATACCTGTGAAAAAACTCTGTCAAAAAATGCTAATGTAACGTTTTACGTGTCTCCTATAGGTCTCATTTTTAACATCATGACAGTAACATAGGATAAGATTGCGTAACTCACACCCTTTAAGAAAAATAGGTATGAATCCTAGCATATATGAAAAAAATTAAACTTTTGTGTGGTAATAATGTCTTGTGTTGTGGTTGCTGATATTTATTACAATAAAATTCCATATATACTACTCTCTCTTGGATAAAATTAATAAAATTTATGAACACGACTTAATACGACTTAGATAGCAGTATTAAGTCGTTCCACCTATACCTTAAGCTGTACCGCGTTTCAGATTCAACAGTTATAATAAAACTTTCATTTTTCTCAATTAATTTATTTATATAGTTACAGCAAAAGATATTTTTTTCACAAAGATATTTTTTTCATTTTCTTATCAACTCTAGAACATAAGTTGTACCCCCCTTTGCATTTTAGGCTCTGAATCATATTCTCTTCGCAGTCTTCTTCATAAATATTGCAGGAAAAAACGATGTGAAAAAATATGGTTGGCCAGTGGGTACCTCGTTTTTTTCGGTAAAATCGTAGTTAGCATGATATTACGCCTAATATATAAAAAGTTACGACTTGCGAAACCTTATCGTACTTAATTCTATTATATACGTTTTGTATAATGTTGTTGAAGTAATGTAGCCGATAAAAAAGCTAATTTTATATTTTTACATTTCTTATGTTTAGTTAGTTAAGGATTGTTTCTGCTCAAGTCACCGTAAATCAAATCAAGAATGCGAAGTTAAAAGGCATGAAAAACCTTTATTATTAACGGTGCAAACACATATGAAAAAATATTTGCAATAAAAATTACCAAAGAAACATCATTACTACATTGCCAGTCTCATGCAGCTCCAAGAACTCGTTTCCACCAAGAGAACAGTTTTCTCTAAGAAGAAAAAAAAATCCACATTATCCGGTTCATTCGCCCCTTTTATGCTTGTAGAACAATTGTATATATATTATATACTGAGCTCGTAACATTCCTATTGGATACGTTGATAATCTCCAAGTTCCCATAGGGGAGGCATGGCTATGGGAGCTTGGTGGGAGCATTACTGAACGTTCACTACCGAATGTTTTTTGGAACCATATTGGAAAGTCTAAGCCTAACTGCTCGCATACCAGTAACCGACATTCGCTAGCCTTACAACATGACAACTCAGTACAAACAATTTATTCATAAGTGTCTTATCGATCTAACAATTTCGTTGCAGTCTTGTTCACTCTATAAAACTATTTCCCCAAAAAACTCAGATTGCCAGAGATTCCAAATAAAATTCTGCTAACTTTGAAAACGAGTAAGACCCTCTTCTTTGAAGAACAAAAAGTCTAGTCGAACATTTCTCTTGTTTTTTATTCTTAACTGTATTTTTAGTTCCATCAAGGAGGGGTATCTAGTCCTCGAAATCGAGTTTTACATGAAATCTATACTAAGTTTTTTTGGTACTTGTCTTCTGGTCCACCAGTGGCCGAGCGGTAAAATCGCTGAACACAGGTAGTTCGGTCCGGGCTTCGAATCCCAGCGAACGGGCTGGCTGCATGGTGTTTTCATGGTTTTCTCCATGTATAACAGTTTCCCTTAGAAATTCCTCCCCTTAGGCAGCCTTCGAGTGCTTTGCCATAAACCAAATCATATATAGAATAAATAGGTACTTGTTTTCTATAGCGGCCTTGGCGAGAGAAAATATTTTTGGCGTAATTTCGGGTTCAAGAAAGTGAGGTTTATTCCCAAATATCCGTGAACGCAAAACAGAGTGCGTTAAACGATAATCGGCAATTCATTCAAATATCTGCACAAAGCAGATTACCTAATACACACATGTAGGAGATATTTAGTATATTTTTTCATTTACTTCATCATTTAATGCAACCTTTCAGCAATTTATGCAAAATAGCAAAATAATTTAACAAAACTTATTTAATATGTACATTAAATATTGTATTTTACACAATTATGCAAGCAATTTATTTAAAATAACGTACATAAACAAGCCGGAAAATTCTATTTATTAATTTATTTATTACAGTTTCTACAAAACCTATTAATATATAAATTAATTATTGTACTCAATGCGATTATGTAAGCAACTTATTAAAAACAACAGACTTAAACACAGCGGAAAATTCTATTTAATACTAAATATACCGGAAAATTCTGTTTATTATACCGTAGGAGCGTTAGGCCAGAAGGGCTATTATTCCCGAAACGACATTTTGCGTCGAATCTAAAAACGTTGAATCCTTTTTCAAATTGTCGCCACCAGATATTATCGTCCTGTATTATATTTAAGGAAATCAAATAATGAAGAATCTGCATGAATGTATGTAAGTTTCTCGCACTGTGAAAAAAACAGTACCTAGAGCCATCTTATTTTGAATAACGTAGTCCTCCACCCAACTGTGGGCAGCTACAAGCCCGAATTTTGAATTTCGAATTAATTTTATTATCTGTTTCGTATTTTCTAAAATTTAAATTTTTTATTAACAAACTCACCGGTTTCAAAGTGAGCAGTAGCAAAACTGTACGGAAAAACAACATTTTTATCTCCAGCGCGCAAGAATAACTATCGGAAATTCTAAAGGTATGCTATTTTTAAATATTTTTACCCCAAATGGGCGTTAGCCAAGTTTTCGAAAATCTGTACTGACACCTATGGACCAGTGTTCAAAACAGCGTATAACAAAGTCTTCCGGCCCACCTCCCTCACAGCTTCTCTATTGTCACATGCACGAATCAGCAATGAAATAATCACTGCTAATTTGGAACCGATCTTGAGAAACGACTCGCATTAAGTCTCCTCTATTCTCCAAAAACAAGCAAGAAGTGCATTCACACGCAAGAACGGGGAAGGTGGGCCAGGCTTTCATCAGTTCCCATCGATATCTGAGATAGTATTATTTATTCATTAGCAGCTAAAATAAAAGGCACCAGATCCGGATGCAGTAGATAATTCTATTATTAAAATAATGCGGCATGCAGTTTCAAAATTTTTAAATGCATTCCTTTTCGCTTGTTAGAGATTATGTCATTTCCTCATCGGCACCAAAACAGAAAAAGAGGCCCTTTTCCTAAAGAGTGGACCCAAATATGCTCTCAGCATATCAGCCAATACGTCTTCTCGGCATATCGGCATTTGGAAAAGTCTTTGAGGAAATCAACGTGTCACATACGAATTTTTACCTTGCAAGAAACGGCACATTACATCCAAGGCAGCATGGTTTTCGAGCTGGTCTCACAACCGAACATGCATGACCTCATTTACGTACCGACAGATAATAAAAGATCTTGTAACCACTCGCTTACTACAGCAATCGACATCTAAGGGGCCTTCGATTCAGTGTGGTGGCCAGATGTTATTCGTAGCTTGGTGTCAGGATGACCAGGTTCACTCCCTGACCTCATTCGTAGCTATTTAAAAGCTTGAAAAATACAAGTAACATCAGATGGTACCATGACGAAGGACACCTTCCGAGGATGCCCACAGGGTTCGTGCTTAGACCCTACCTTATTGGAACCTAGTGCTAATACAGCACTTCAATTCGATGATGAATCAGAGACCACAAAGGAAATTGCCTACACCGATGACTTTCTTTTGATAGTAGCTAGTACAAGCAGCCTGAAAAACAGAGCTAAAGAAAGCCTGGAGACCTTCACAAGCTGGGAAAAAGAGTATAAACTCATTATTTCAGAAGATAAAATTCAGACCTTGATAATCGAGCGCCATGGTATTTTAAGTTATAACCCCAGCTTTAAACTCCAGGGCAAAACCATCAAATATGGTATACAAATGAAATATCTCGTAATAATTCTACAACACCGGCGTACATGGCTTCCTCATATTCGCTACATTAAGCAAAAAGTGCTCCAACTTGCTGACTCAATGCCCCGTACAGCCGCTGTGAAATGGGGAATACTATCCAGATTTTCTTTCGCTTGTGATATATGACAGTAACGCAGAGTATTGTGCTTCAAGTTATTTACTGTTTAATTCAGTGATTCAACATCTAAATAAATTAAATTAAAATTAATAAAATACAGTTTATGAATTAAATTAAAATAGGCAAATTAAAATAAATAAAGTACGAAAACTTAAATTAAAAGAAACTAATTTCGAAAAAATTTTCCAAGCGGGATAAATTTCAAGGACAGATAATAGCAACCTGTGGTCTTTCTTTTATTCATTAAATTTTCTCGACACATATAGAAAACATTCGTATGTTATAGATACGAGGGCAATCCCAAAAAAAAGGTCTCCTATTTTTTGGGGACGTAGAGAAAGTTTTAATACGGTTGTTGGCAACACTGTTGTGAGTGGTGCCTTCTCCGCTACCACATAAACACGCAGGCGCTTCGCTCGGATGCTCAGTCTTGGCTTGGCAGCCATTCGAAATGGAGCTCCCGATAAACGTTACCGCCAAGTGCGAAGTGCGCCCAGTTATTCAATTTTTGAACGCAAAAGGCGTTAAACCGGTTGAAATTCACCGCCTATTGACAGAAGTGTATGGACAGTCGTGCATGGATGTCAAAAACGTTCGCAAGTGGTGTAGAGAGTTTACAGCCGGTCGTACTGAAATTCATGACGAAGAAAGGAGCGGGAGGCCGTCAATTGCCGACGAGACAACTCAACTTTCGCGATTGTTGAGTTCGTATTCGTTGAGTTTCGCGATTGTTGAGTTCATAAAATGCGTAAAGATCGGAGGATCATCTGGATGCTCCTGAAGCTCCTCAACGCTTCCTGAAGGGCATGGCGGCAAGCTGGTATGACATGGGCATTGTAAAACTGCCACAGCGTCTACAAAAATGCATCGACCGAAATGGCGATTATGTTGAAAAATAAAGCATTCTGCAATCTTTAAAGTGATGTAGCAATTATAGAAAATAAACGGTTCTTTGTATATCTAAAAATCTAGGAGACCTTTTTTTGGGGATTGCCCTCGTAATTATAAACTTCCTCTTTTCTTATTACAATCTCTATGTACAACTTGACAACATTTCAGTTATGATAAAGTTTATAGTTTTGGAAAAAATATAAATTTTTTTTAGATAATTACAAATAAAAATTTTAATTTTATTGCGCACATCACAAAAGTAAATAATTTCTTATTTATCTAAACAAACACGTCCTTCTCTTTCTTGGGGCTCACCAGCGGCCGAGCGGTAAAATCGCTGAACACTGGTAGTTCGGTCCGAGGTTCGAAACCCGCTGCATGGGCGTTTTTGTGGTTTTCCCCATGTGTAACGTGTATACGAGCCAGTTTCCCTTAGAAAGTCCTCCACGAAGGCATCCCTTCCCTTAGGCAGATAGCCCTAGTGTACTTTGCCATATTCCCAATACACACACCTTCTCTTTCTTGGCGAGGTGAAAGGCAAGTATTACCAATTATTTTAATTTAATTTTATGTCTGGCCTACTAAATATTTATCAAAAAATACATAAACAATAATAATAAAAACGCAAAAAAGAAAAATTTTAAATTACTTTTTATCTGAAGTATAAAGTTTAATGTCTGCAAAACATTTTTGTGGTTACACCTTCTAATTTAAGCATATTGACAGCTAAATATTAAATATTTAGACTGATTATTATTCTAATGTGTTTAATTAATTTTAATGTTTAATAAATCATTAACAATTTAAATTAAAATTCAAAAAAATTATGAAAACTAAGTTTTCAGAGAAACATTCCAAATGGAACCAATTTGAGCATAAACAATGACAATTTAGTTTCTTTCCATTATTTATTTAACATTTCTTTGACACATAAATAAAAATACGTATGTTTTATATGAATAATGATGAATTCCTTTATTTCTTACTACAGCTTTGACACTTCATGGCGTTTCGCTTCTGATAATGTTTGTAAACTTGGAGAAGAATTACTACAAAGTATCTTCTTTCCACGGGTTCTAAATGGTCATCGGTCAATCGGGTTCCTTTCCTATTCATTTTCAGCTATGAAAAGTGCTGTTTGCACATAAATGTAAACCAAAACGATCATTCCTAGTGCAAAAAATTCGCAACTAAACGTATTTTTTTATACGTACGAATAATATTAATCAAATATGTATCTTCAAATCTTTGAGAAAGATTTATATCCCACTAGCTGGTACCCGGCATGCATTGCTTTGCTACTTACACTGGTGTGCAAAAATTAAGGACGAGACGGTTTTTTTCAATATAACTTTGTACAAAAGCTTTCCAAATCAACACATTTAATATCGTAAGATCCCCAATACGTAAGGACATGAGTAATGTAAGCAACACTTACTAAAAGAGAAATCAGAGGGATAAAAAGAAGCTTTATTGAAAAAGTAGCATGGAGCGCAATGCGACTGAAGGCCGAAACATCCCTGTGATGGGTGTCCAGCAAGAAACATCCGGTCTTTAATAGGGGATGTGATCTCCCCTGACTGCTAGGCAGGTTTCACAGCGTCTGCCCATGCTGAGAATGAGGGTGTCAATGAGTTGTTGAGGCATTGCTTCCATTCGTCTTGCAGCGCCAATCGAAGCTCCGGAATCGTTACTGGTGGTAAGGTACGAGCTGCCAAGCGTCTGCCTAGAAAATCCCATACATGCTTGATGGGATTGAGATCCGGAGATCGTGCCGGCCAATCCATACGTTCAATATCCTCACTCTCTAAGAACTGTTCGGCAGCTATTGTGCGATGACATGGTGCATTGTCGACCATGAAAAGGAACTGCGGACCCATAGCGCCTCTAAAAAGACGCACATATGGAAGAAGAATCTCGTTACAATAACGGGTCCCGTTGACTGAACCTGGGTCGAAGATGTGAAGGTCTGTACGACTACCAAGCATGATGCCTCCCCAAACGAGAACACCGCCACCTCCATACCTGTCCCTTTCCTTATGATGTTCGAGGATGATGCTCTCTCCAGATGAGAATTGCTACTCAGACTGAATCTGCTCTCATCTGTAAAGAGTACTCGTCCCCATTCATTGTCTCTCCAATTCCGGTGTTCCCGGCACCACAGAGAACGCCTTCTCCGATGGGCAGACGTTAGAGGTACACACCGTACAGGGCGTCGTGCAAACAGACCACCACCGTGCAGTCTTCTCGCCACGGTAAAACGCAATATCGGTCGTCCAGTCGCCTGTGTCGAGTGTCTAGCGATTTCTCCCGCTGTCTGCCGCCTGTTTCTTCTGGCCTGTAAGGCAATATACCGGTCATCTGCGGGTGTGGTTTCTCGTGGACGACCACTACTAAACCCCCGGATAGCGCTGTTCCTGTAGTTTGAAATTGTCTCCAAAGTCGTGAACGATGCTGTGAGCAATTCCGAACTCTGCAGCCACACTTGTCACACTGCGGCCTTCCTCCAACTTCCCAATGATTCGACCTCTGGTAAAAGCATCCAGATGTCGTCTAACAGATTGATTATTCGCCATTTCTCGCTGAGGCAGCAACTCGGTGTGATTTTAACTGCTATACGGCGTGCAATCTCTTTGCCAGAAATACTGATCTTACACCGACAACATGCTTTATACTACTCAGACACTCCCCCATTACGTCTATCTGCATATCTGCGCATGTGCTACCGTACATCACCTTACTTAATCTCCTGATTATTCTTTCTGTCCGCTCTGCCTCTTCGTTCAGCTGATATGCTAATTTTTCGACTTCGTCCTTAATTTTTCACACCAGTGTAAAGGAAAGAAAGAGTTTGTGTTTTAATTACGCTATGAATTTTTTTCCTTATGTGTATTTTGCATGTTTCGATTGGCTTGTGACATCTGATACAAAGCTGATGGCTCGGATGATAAATCTAATTCTGGGAATTTCACTTTTCCACCCTCACAGCATATTCCTTGTGCTTCATTCTTAAATCGGAAGGCTTTACAATACATGCATAACTTATCCATCTTTCCAAAGATCACACTTGGATGAAGACTGTAATCATAACTTACATCGTAATGGAATGCACCAAGATTTAAATCAGCGTGTAGTATTCGTCTGGATCGAAATCAAGCATTTCCCTGTCTTGTTTACCGTTGCTCATTTACTTCATAGTAACGGACTTGAGCAATGACTACTAGAACGTCTTCCAGTCTTGCTTTCCGTTGCTAGCTTGTTTCTGAAGCCCGTAATGCCTTTTTTTTTTTTTTTTTTTTTTTTTTTTTTTTTTTTTTTTTTTTTCGTGCTTGAGGCGTAGATCCAGCAAACGATTTTCGTTTTGGTGGCATAACTGATTTCACAGCGAAAGTAATGCTTTGCGACCACTATTACAAATTCACTTTAAAAAAGCAAAGAAAATGTGTGTGATACAATAACATGCATGTTAATGCATGTAAAATTGAATATTTTACACTTTGCTTTTCTATAACACACTTTAGGATATTTTCATTTGGGCAGTGGCAAAACATTTCTTTCTCTTAAATAGCCGGGTTTGTTTGTTGAATTCGAGACAAATTAATATAATTGCGTTTTCCCCATTTGCAACACAATTTTATCGCCGAATTTTCTGATTAAAGAAGAAACATCTTATAAACCAAAGCTTTTAAATCGCTGAGTTTTTAATCAAAAGTTCGCTAAATTAGTATAAAATAAATGTATATAAAGAGTGCATTCTCCATGGCCTGGTTTTTGAGAAATTTTATATAGACAGTGACCTTCTTCTTGTTTCGAAGGTCGAGTGTGGCAAGTTTCATAAAGATCAGAATTAAGCTGTAGATATGTATAAAAGATATACAGACATTCATTTTTATATATGTAGAATGTAAATTATTAGCTCCCTTTATATGTTTTCTGCTGCATTATTCACTTAATGGAATAATAATAATCTAAACTCGGATTTCAAAAAATTAAATTTTCTTAAATCTTTGCAGTAGCGCATTGAAAACAAATGCATAATTGAAATGCATTTGGGAGTCGCATAAAACTGCTTCAAGGGCCGCCAGTTTAAGGTCATTGAAGTAGATTTAAGAACAAGCACAAATAAGGAGGTTTTATAAGGCGCATATTAATTTTTCTCCATCAATATAGCAATATCCCGCAACTGACGTGACACTGAAGTTCCAAAATGCTGAAGTGACACCAACTAACATCTGGCGAACTAAATTTACTGGTACCGGCATGGGAAGTTCTCCTCTTTTAATTCTACGGCCTGGCATACAAATCTTAACTTATTCAATCTATCTCATTTCCCTTCAATGGCAGTAGCGCGCGTAACTTTAGTAAATATGTCTTTGAAACTATAAGCACGCGAAAGCTCCTTTTCTTATCCAGAAAACAAAAAATACACGTCTGCAATAAATATATAATTGAAATATATTCCAGAAACGTGTAAAATTGTTTCAGGTGTTTGCAATTTGCCTTACGAAATAAGAAATGCAAATAGAAATATATAATTTAGATAGATTTAATAAAAGTATTTTTTAAAGAGGTATAGTTAAAAGGATACAAGAAATACTCACACGTTTGGTGTTTTCATTCACGTTATTTACAAAGGAGAAAAGGTTGTCCAAACTAATGTCCACCTCTTCTAGAATTTCCTCTATCCATGGCTCCAGATCATCAGCTGAAAAGCAAAGGAAAACGTGAAATGAAATATTTAAAAAACCCTTTTAAAAAGCTATCATCAATCTAATCAACTGATACAGGATCCTTCATTTATGAATGCTATATTGTTGGGAAATTGCATTTTCCCTCGCATCTGCGCAGTGCTGAAAAGCAGGAAAATGCAACTGTACTGAATCCCCAGAAGAAGCCACAGCTACGTAGCATCCTGGCTACCCCTATTGCGCATGCACGAAATAGGTGTCGAAGTAGATTCAGCCTTTATACCTTTTTACATGAGGCGAAATAATTGTCGAACCGGTGTCGAATGTCGAAGATTCCGTTTGGCAAGAGTTCAAACTTCTTAGCACCATTATTTTTTCCCGCCGTATTGACGTAAATCAAATCATTGATCCGCGGAAGTAGATTAATTAATGGATTATTTATTTTTAGTAAAACAAATCTATGAAAATCCGGGTTTAAATTATCACGAAAAGTTTTGTGAAAGAATGAATACCATAAGTTCTTTGATTTTGTACCTTAATCTCAATTTCCTGCGCACTTGGTGATTTGGTGACGGGAATTGGCGACGAGAATTTTTCCCTCCGTGATGCAGCAGAGCAGTAGTCAAATTTACATTACGTTAAGTTGGTTTACATTACGTTTATGGAAGCTTTCCTTCTTTAGATACATATTCTCTGCCGTAGCTGGAGTTGTAGTTGTAGCTCTCTTCGTCGTGGAGCGATGTTTCGAAACACGGAATGCTGACATGAATATATGATATGAACTATTGAAGATATGAACGCAGTAAGAAGCCCTTAAGGGCCGTTCCCATCTGAGCTAACATTGTCAGTTCCGTGTGTCGACTAGCTCCGCTATGCCTGCAGTTCAGATTTTTCAACTTGCATAAGGCAGCAAGTTGAAAAATCTGAACTGCAGCACAGCGGAGAACACTGTATATATAGGGAGAACTATCACCATTGCTCGTAGCCTTGGCATTGCCCACATTAAACATTTGACAATAATTTCAATAAAGGGTTACGCTCTTTCCAATGCTCGAATCCAGTGACGTTACTTGGCTAATAAGGCTAATAACATGGATCATAAAAGAAAGTGACTAACCAAGTGGGCGGGACGTGCGATCACTACATGTCGAGAATGGGAAGTTGGGAATGGGAAGCTATACACTAACTCTGAAACTTAAGGCATCATATAATTGCATTTAATTATTAAAATCATGCGTTGTTTTTGTCATGAGACTTTGAAATTCAAAGCTTTTGTAAATAAAATTTACTATATCTCATAATTTTTTTACTGTATTTCTATATTTGCGCAAGCGTAATTCTGGTTTTTTTATAAACGTTTTACTTTGCAAAATAGTAAAATTATTCTTAAAAATTACATTATTCTAAAAATTTCAGTATCAAGAGCAATATTAAAAGTTTAAAAAAAATTAAACATTTGTTCACCATTTATTTCAAATGAAAAGTCTTCGTACATTTCGAATGCCGACGATATGATCCTTCTTCGTTATTTATGGCCAAATTGTGTTACCTCTAATTTGTGCCCTTAATTATAGGCATCATAATTTGCTATCGTAAAGAGGAGAAGAGGAGTTTCTTTCGAATATCACTAAATTAAGATGTCTTCTAAAGTTAATGTCAAAAATATTTTCATTTTTAAACCGACTAATCATTTGAAATGAATTCTGCATTTAAATTTCTGCTACTTCGACAGTTCTGCATAGAAAATGTAGCTGAGAAATTTCTTAGTTTATTTTTACTTTCAATTTGCAGACATTTAATAGATTATTTTTGGACATTTGCATATATATATATATATATATATATATATTGCGAATAAATTCTGGCATATTTAAAAAAAAAACCGTATTAGTATTTACTAAAACGTTTATTTTTAAGTGTATTCCATGAATAAATATGTTCCAAATACATTTACCATTAAAGCTGAATCTTCATATTTAAGCCATTAATTTTATGTGCAAAATGTATTAAGGAAATAATTAATTAAATTTTGTACAAGAGCTGTGTTTTAAAACTTAATCCATCGGTAATACTTGTTTGTACACAATTAAAAAGTTTTTACAGTTAGCAACTTCACTAAAAATATAAGTTATTTTCGAATGTTTACAAAAATAACCTTCATATATTTGCAAAAGAAAAATTAGACATATTAGATTTTAAATAAAATTTAACTTGTTAATCTGCTTCTACGTTATCATTTCCCTATGATTCACAACAACCGGTCTCTTATCCTTACACATTTTACCCATTTATGTATTAAAAACGCATTAGTTCATAAAGAAAGTAACACTAAACTTATTTCATTATTTGATGAGATAATTTTCCTTAGGTTCGTAATCATTAACGTAATCTTTTAGGTAAGGAGGAATAATATATTCTACAATATTTTAAAATTTTACTTATTCTAGGCTTGTTAATACAGTCAAAAGTCTTTAATCCGGACTCGTCCGGACTTCGGCGATTCCGGATTATCGATTTTTCTGGATTATAGATCATCAGTTTAAATCTGGTAAGATGGCATGCAGAAATTATAAAATTAAAAATATGAAACCGTAATTTATAAAATAATGAGCAATTATGATCTAAAGGTATCAAAATTTACAAAAAAAGAAGCTTAATATTTATTTGTTTACTTTATTAAACATTTCTTTCAACGCGCGCATGCGTAAAGCATACATTACGCATAGCCGAAATTAGAAAATTGCAACCAGAAAACTATTTGATTTGTATTCGTGATATTTATAATGACGAAGAATTTGATTTAAATCATATCAAAGACGGAGTACATCGAGATGAAATACTACATTTAGTAAGGAATTATAAGCCGAATAAAATAAAAACATCTGCCCTGAAGATAACGATAGTGCTGACAGATCAACTTCCAGTTCATTGCGCGACGCGACGTTTCTCCCCCCCCCCCCCCACGCAGAGCAGCGTGAAATTGATAAACAGATTTCGGAACGGTTAGATAAACAAAGGATATGCCTTTATCCATTTTTGTAGCAATTCCACTTTTTGTTTGATGAACATCGAAACATACTTTCGTTTTGTAGATCCTTTGAGAGCTCCAGCGTCGGAAATTTGACATAATTGAAAGTTCAAGCTTACTTTTATAAAATTGCTCTTACAGTTTGCAAAAAATAATAAGCCGGATCCAACTCGAAGATTAAGGAACAACGCAATCATCAACATTAACTGAAATAGATAATTAGATAATTTTAGCTTATACCGTCCGTTATACATTAAACGCGCACGCAAAAACGTATTCTGCGCTTTCGCAGACGTAAATGCGCAGTCGTAAAGGTCTTGCGCGCACGCGTAAACGCCTATGCGCATGCGTCAACGCGGCGCATGCGCAGAAAGATTTTAGCTTTGAGGTCAGGATTATAGATCATTCCGGATTATGGGTGTCCGAATTAACGACTTTTGACTGTATATTTATTGCAGTATTTTCAGTATTATTCCAGAGGTGCTACTTTGGTAGACGGTTGCACGGATTTTGGCGATTTTCCTTTGGCGAATAATACAACTTATGGTATTTCTTTGGCGAGTAATACAACCCATTGCTGGATAAGTTATTTATGGTAACCGATACTTTGTTGTCATTTTATTTTTTAAAAAAATACGTTTTATTGCGCATAAATTCCGTGTTTAAAATATTATTTATGGCTTTTAAATATTAAAAATCAATTTAATTTTGCATTTTATTTGAAATAAAAATTTTATTGTTTATCATATTTTATGAAATTTTATGTTGTGGATGATGTAATCAATGACGTCACCTTACTTTAAAAGTAATTCGTTTTAATATATATAAATTTAATCTAATGTTTTAAACATTATTTATGGCTGTTAAATATTAAAATACAATTTAATTTTGCATTTTTTTTAAAATGATTTTATTATGTATGAATTTTTAAATAATTTTAATTCTAGCCGTGATGTAATAAGCTCTCTGATTGGTCATAGAATATTTGTGCATTAACGAGCTGTAATCAGCTCCCTGATTGGTTACTGACAATTTGTGCATTTCCGCGCCGTTTTAAAATTTAATTCATATCTTCGAATTCCTTCAAAGATGTTATCTAAATTACGATTTCGATTTTTTTTTGTGGTACTTATCAATAAGCAACATGCTAAATGACTCAAAAAATTTAAGTACATATTTTTCTTTTCTTTTATAATTGTATACTTCAATTTTTGTTTAAAAAAATTAATACACTATTTTCAAAAATTGCTGAGATAATTATTGTCCATATGTTTTAATGTTAATTATATTCTATATAGCGTATTTTAAAGTATTTGAATTTAATAATATTCTAATTATTTTAAATGTTGGTATGATGGTTTTTAATTCGATATTCAATTTCAGTAATATTTTAATCTAATTAAACTTTGGCCCAATGTTTTTATAGCGGTGTTTTTATTCTCTTCTTTGCTATATGAAAGTAATAATAACTTTACTATAGTATTTTATACTTATAGTAAATGCATTTATTTACACTTGCCTGCCATCTTAAAAAAAGACATTTTCAACAAAAAATTAATCCATTACTTTTAACGATATTTATTTATTTATTTTTTTTAAAGTTTCAAATACTTTACTATGCGTAAAAACAGCGTTTTCAAGATGGCTGACGTTTGTAAAAATCGCGCCAACAATTGCGCCAACGTAAATCGCCAAAAATCCGTGCAACCGTCTACCAAAGTAACACCATTCCAGAATATGTGTTTACCTAAAATAACAACAACAACAATAATAATATGTTAAACTAAATTGATTATTTAATTAAATAACTTTCCTCAGATTTGTTATCATTAACGTAATCTTTCGGGGAAAGAAATACAAAATAATTTAATTTTTTTCCTAACTTTTAATACTATGGTATTTCCAGTATTAATCTCCAATGTATGTTTCCTTAAAATAATTATAATATTTTTTTAAATTTTTTCGGGAAACCTGTCTGAAATTTGCAGAAGTTTTTAACATTCTCGGAATGAAGTTAAATTTTCAGCTTTAAAAATCTAGCAGATTATCTTACGCTAATATCGAAAGTATGCTGTGTTAGCAAATACTGCATTTCATTTCACCGATTAAGATTTTTAGCAAGAAAACTAGTTCTATAGGATAAAAATTATAAACACAGCAATAACAAATCATATTAAAATTTCTTGAGTCGTCCCAACTTCTCCCGGCTATGATCAAGGGGTTCTTGCAGCACATTTGAAGCGAGAGAGAAAAGCCATTTGGGTTAGTCTATTTCTTGTAAGATTCATAGGGAAATGGGAAAAACGAAAACATAAAGGGAGTAGAAAGAGTTGGTTTTTAAGCATACTGTAAGTCAGTGATATCACATGCCCAAAGATTCATGGTAGGAAAGGGCAAACCATTAACATTAATAACAAAAGTACTTTGCATATACATTTTAAAGACATTTGAAAATAATCTAAAAATATCTCACTTGCAAATGCAAATTGACTATTATCTGCGTCTCCCATATTTTATAAAGTGGCTAAATTTGTTCCTTACTTTCTGCCTGAAAATTTTGCTGCTTCTAATTCGGAAAATGTTTCAAATAACTGCCTTCTGGCTAAATGTAATAGCAATTCAATGTTTTATTACGTGCAAAGCTCATTTAAGAGACTCGCGCTTCGCATTCACTAACATTTTTCTTACTCTTGTGTTAAAAATTTAAACCTAAGACTTAAAAATTATAAGAAGAAAAGTAAACTTCTAATTCTAGTTTTCATGCTTTAATTCAATTTCGTTGTTAGGACATAATTATATTCTTTTTAAAAAAATCGTATTTTTTCTGAGCACTAAATGCCCGGATTATTCAAATTATTTATTTTGTTTAATAAGACGAAAGAAAAAAATGGGTCATCTCTACTTAATAAATAATGAAGAATCTGTTTGTATGTATGTTTCGCTTTCAGGAAAAATGGCGACACCCAGAGCCACTAAAGTTTGAACACATGTAGTCCTTTACTTGTACATGTGCATTTTGAAGCCCAAATGTGAATTTCGGATATATTTTTTACTTATTTCCAATTTTGTAAGAATTTAGTGAATTTTTCATTGACAAACTCAGCGGCTTTAAAGATAATAGCTGTAACATTGTACGAAATAAAATATTTTTATCTCCAGCGCGCCAGGCTGCTGCCTTTCGTCAAAACGAAAGACATTTATCTTTCAGTTTTAATCAACAAATTCAAAAATTTAAAAGCAAAGTGTAGCCAATGCCTTAAATAAAACACTTTTCTGTCCCACCCGCCAGCGTGTTGCCATTCAATGAAGCGTAGTTGATATTAGGTTTAATCTACCTATTACTAGTATCAATTAACGAACCAAGCAGTTTAAAAGTAATAAAAATAGTTCTTAAAAATATTTTTTTCTACTCTTTTGATGTAATTGATTTAACAAAGATGTATTTAAATCAGGAGACGTCTAATTAGAAATATTAAATATTTTTATGAAATTACACTAAATGCACTTATTAAAATCGTTAATTTTTGAATTTTTTACTAGCTATTTTAAGCAGCTGGCCGAGCAAGTGGCTCGTCAGTCGAATTCATAAGCTGTCATAGTTAATAGTGTTCAACAACGCTTGCAAATTCAGAATTCATGCATATAACAGTATCTATATATATAAAGAAGAAAGTCTGCGTGTGTGTCTTCTAATGACTCAGTCACTACTATAGCTATTGTCACCAAACTTTCTTCAATTCTTTTCTGGGTTTGGAAAAGGTCGATGTCCACGCGGCAACAGTCTCGCAGGCTGGAGATGAAAATCTGCTTTACTTCGAAAGTTTTTGCCACTGTTCGCTTTCAAATCCTAGAGTTCGTTTGTAGAGATATTAAGGACTTTTTCGGAAGGAGGCAAGATGAAAAATTAGCAAACGCCTTCTCCGGGAAGCGTAATGGCAGACCGCACATTGAGTTGAACAGTGTTAAACGAACGTTGCATACCGCGCATGCCTAGAAAACAATTTGGCGTAATTACTATGTTGGCGAGATTTGAAAAGAAGATAAATACGGTATATGGTAGATGTACCGCCATCTGATTGTAAACAAATCTGGCGTTTAAATCTTCGTGTTAAATTAATTTCTGTGTTAAAATACTATTTTTTGCTGTACTGCTCAAACAACAAGAAAGCTGAAATTATTGCGAAGTAATGTGAAGCAGTGTTGACTGAAATTTAGGATATATTAGTTGAAAATTTATTCATTATACTTTTAAGCAGTAAAAACAATTCAGGATTTACCATAAGTTCCATTCGTACATACATAAAGAAACACTGAGGAATATAATAAAGTGCTTGGAAATAACACTGAAGAAATTTTACAATTCCTTAATGCTAGTTATTAAATGCTTTGAAATGAGAAAATAAAAGCGCGAATATAAGCTAACAAACTAAGCGAGAAACTCCAGTTTACAATTACTGAATTATAACATGTAAACAAATTACATCTAAATAACGAATTATTACGAACATATGTTAACAAATATTAAATGCACTGTTATTGACAAATTAAAATGAAACATATATTATAAAAATAAGCAAGTGCACTTAAAATAACTAACAAGCAAAGCTCCACAACATTGCAGTTGTAAACATCACTCGAACACACTCGACAGCCATGGAGATCACGAATAAGCTAGCGTAGGGTTGCTTATTCGCCAATATTTCTCCCCGCGCCAAAGGTACACCATCAAGCATGCGCAGTAAGCGAAATTCGCTTAACACTGTTCAACTCAATGTGCGGTCTGCCATTACGGCTCCGGGAATCGAACCACGGACCTCTGGAATATCGGCTCAGCGTGCAGAACCACTACACCACGAAGGCACGCTAGGAAGCCGAGAGAAATACCTTATATATTCCCCTTTTAAAGGGCGACTGGGTTGTTGTTGTTTTTTTAGGAGACCCAATCGCCAAATCCTGAGTGAGGAGAATCATCATCCAATGCCCTTTTTTAGTTCGGACGCCACTGTAGAGACATTAGGATTTTTTGGAAGCAAGAGAGATGAAAAATTAGCAACCACCTTCGCGGGGAATCGAACCACGGACCTCTGGAATACCGGCCCAGTTGCAGACCACCACACTATGAAGGCACGCTAAGAAACCAGGAGAAATACCTTATACGTTAATTAAAAATTTCCCCAAGTTTTACAAGGAAATAAAAATAGCATTGCCAAATATTAAATACATTATTCCAGATTCCAAAAAATTCGTGGGAAGTTATTTCGACTATTTCCACCTTTGTACGACTTTAATCAGCCGAAATATTAATTAAAAACTCCGAAAGCGCTAATTTTCGCACTCATTTTCCCGAGTGAAACAGTGTCGCGTGTTGGAGATAAAAATGCTTTATTTCGAAAAGTGTTGCTACTGCTTGCTTTCAAATTGTAGAGTTTGTTAATCAGAAATTCGTAAATTTTACAAAATCTATACCTATAAAGAAGACTAATATAAGAAGAATTTGTTTGTTTGTTCACGTTACTGATTTATAATCAATTTTTGCCACATTTAATCGACTAAAATTAAAATATTGGATGGAACTTGAGCGTTTACGACAATTTGATTAGAAAGACGAAAATCATTAAAAACTGCGTACCATTGTTGCTGATATAATCAGAGAGATTTAGCTTATTTTTCTATCGAAATTTTTATGTGGGTTTAATATTGCATCAAATTGAAAAATGTATGACTATGAATCGTATTTTTGCATCGTTATTAGAAAACGATTACAGCGGTATCGTTATCTCTGTTGTTAAATGCATTACTCTCAATCTAACTTAACTGGCATCGAGTACTTCCGCTAGTATCAGATAAAATAATGTAACAAATGTATTTTTTTTTGGGGGGGGGACTATAAATATGCATCATGATTTCTAAGATAGAAGGAATTTTCCTAAAGTTTAGAAGGCTATTGATTGCCATTCTTCTTCCACGAAAGATAAGGAGAGAGAATACACAAGGAAATACTTTGTTTATTATTAAAGGATTCTCTCGGAGATTTTCTCCTTATCGTTTTATGTCATCACTAAATTCCGGAAGTGCTGTTTTTGTTCTATCAGTTAATACTGTGGCAGTGTTGAACCTTCTTCAGAATTAAATTTGTAAGTTGTGAAAAATTTGTTTAATCCATGTTGGCAACGCTGATATAAGAATGTCTTTTACTTTCAGTTTAATACTGAGACAGCGCCACCTGGGATAACCACTGACCTGACTTTTGTTGTAAAAGTTTTACAGTCCTAATAGTCATCCTGGCAGCAGGAACTATTTCTTCCTTGTAAAAATATAAATATTACATGGACATACAAGGCTTGTGTATAAGCATAAATATGTTAATTACAGATATTGTCTTGTACAAGTTACATGAGATAGATATAATCCTAACATTTATGTGCACATTTAAAACATTATCTGACTTTATATCTACAATACTTTTACTGAGATAATCAAAATAAGCTTGTAATTCAGTTACACATTGACTGGATTTTCTTTGTCTTTTATAACTGCTTTACAACATTTTTTAACATGTACACTGCTCAAAAAAAAAAAAAAAAAAAAAAAAAAAAAAAAAAAAAAAAAAAAAAAAAAAAAAAAAAAAATGGGACAGTGCTATATCTACCGTTCTACTGTGGCGATTCACGAAATTCAAATTGCGTTCTTCATGTCTCGAAAGCGCGACTTGGGATATATATTAGATTTATATATAGCACTATTTTAACATAGATATTTTGACACAAAATCGGACTTTTTCTGAAATAACATACCAATTTTTTTACATATTTCGATTCTACGACTCAAATTATGTCAGAATACCAAGTTTTGTAAAAATCGTACGAGTAGTTTTTTTAAAATATTAGCTCTCAAAATTTTAGCTCCTCAATGTTAATTGAATTTGGCAAAATATTTATTAATATTCTCTTTTTTTTATTAAACTTTTTGATTTTTTTTCTCTCACATTTCGAAATTTAGGTTCATTCCAAATAAAATTTACCCATTTTTTTGTGTTTTTATTGTTTTAAATTTCTATTTTTAAATAATTTTTATAAATTTTTCGAAAAAATATTTTGAATTATAACCTATAAAATTTTTACCATCATCTTAAAGTAGGTGTATTTTTAAGCATATCTGCAAAAAATTAGACTTTTTTATTCAAAATTTTCTATGATATACACGAATTTACATATTTTCGCGTTTTGAAATTTGGCATCTTTTTTTTGAGCGATAATAACGCCAAATGTGGTCTATGGATTTTTGTTACAGTGAATTGCCACAGCTAATTTTAACCTTAAATTTCAAGTAAAATTTTACGGAGAATTAATTATATCACATTTTTTCCTTTCAATGATGCGTAATAACTATTTATTAATATTATATGAAAAGCTATTTTTTTAAATTATAGACGATATTATTCAAATTTTTAACTATTTTTTTTTAAATTTCTCTCTTTAAAAAAAAAAAAAAAAAAAAAAAAAAAAAAACATAAGAGTAAATTTTTTACCTTCGGCGTTTTTATCGTCTGCTACTTTACTTCGTTTAAATCGAATTGTCTAAAACT